TATGTATATATGTATATATGTATATATGTATATATGTATATATGTATATATGTATATATGTCCACTAAAGTACGTATTCATTAAACTTCGTCGATCGGGAAGACGATTTTGTTCGAGCATTGGAGTGGTGCGTCGAGGGGTTTTGAGAAGCACTGCAATTGACGTGACTTCATTATGAGAGACGGCTTTATGCATTCATGTCGTGTTGGTCAAAAAATATAGTTCAGGAATTCTTAGCTTGTCGCTTTGAATAGCTGGACGTTGTGACTTGCGCGGAGTGCGTGTTGTAGTGGACTGACACATCATTCCCCATCGGTATTACAACATTCGTTCTTCCTAATCCTATCCCGTTGCGCCTTGAACGGTTTTTCCATGCCATTGGATGCAATGTGGCCACAGGCGTCTGCCTCTTGTGTTCTATAGCTCTACACGGAGAGCTGTCAGTATTGTCTTTACGAACAACTACATTGCCTCTAAAGTGACCAGTAATGTAGTAACGAAAACGGCTGTCTCTAAGCATCTTCCTCAATCCGCCCATGTTAGAATAGAAAATAATGGGATTGACCACGGTATTCGAGAAGGATAAGAGAGCACTGCAGCGTCTAATAACAAAGTCATCATAATGTTTTAACTCTCCATCAGTAGCCATATAGATAATTACATAAATAACGTAAAGAAAATACGGAATAACATACGAGAAAATTAGCTTTACAAACATGCTAGTCTTCTTCAACCGCCATGATGTTCTGATATTCTTCTTTCTAAATAATTTTCTTTGAGATAAAAATCGTATGATGCGAATGCTAGTGACGACCAGAACTAGGCTCGGAATTATATATACTATTAAAGTGAAGCCCATAATTAGACTTTTATACAAGAGAACTCGTCGATCGTATTTACAAATTAAAGTATAAGTGTCAGCTCCGAGATCTTGTCTTATTACCTTGTATGTAGCGGTTGGGATTAAAGTCACGAATCCTCCGAAAATCCACGCAATAAATATCCCTTTTTTCGCATTTCCTTTAGTTATGGAAAAGAATGGATAGAATACAGCAATATATCTTTCAACCCCAATGACCATCAAGTTGGCGAGTGTTACCGTTGGGAAAAAAATCGTTAAGTATCTAAGTAATTTGCAACTCCATTCCTTTAGAGCCATTTGAGTAAATAATTGCCCTATAAAAATGGCTGGAATGGTAATAGCACACAAGAAGTCCGTCCACGCTAAACTTTGAACAAAATGGTCTGTCAATGATCTTTTAAATGTACCTCTTCTTTGTCTAATTTGACGCCTTCCTTGTCGCTTGCTGTAGTACAGAATTGTTGCGTTTGCGACGATCGCAAAACAACACAATAGGGACATGACAAGTGAAAATATGATTTTTTCACTACGATCAATGGGTGAAAATATGAATTTTTGGCGTGCTTTATCGGTGCTTGAGTTTGATGAGGAAAAAATTAGCGAGAAGTTGTTTTCCAAAGCCATCATTTTCTTGTCAAGGATGATTATTTAACGCCACGCTCGATCCAGCAGATTGATTGATATCTGTTAAAAAACGTAAAGTTCAGGAAGATCTTTTAAAAACAGATACTTTATTTACATGAAAATAAAAACAAGCGTTGTATCATTGTCTTTATGCAGAAGAAAATGGTGGCGAGGATATTCGGTGAATCTTAAACCGATATCCTCCTAATGCTGTTAAAACATGGGCAAAAAAGAGGGCGGGGGGAAAAAGGAAAAAAAACAAACACGTGAGAATCAAGCGGTAGTGTACTTGCCTCTATATTGTCTCAAGCTTTGATAAATAATATGATGAGAATTAGGATAAAGATGAAGGCTTCATGTCGTAAGATAGCTTCTTGTAAATATTGGTTTGTCTCTTGCATCACCTGCAACTATATCACTCACGAATGTTCACATCAGTTAATGATTGTGTTTACACGAAATATTATTGGCTAACTCATCTATATTTCACGATTTCGAATTAAGAAAGATCCGATTTAACAAGAAAGCCCTCAAGAAGTTAATAATTGGTTTTCTCTTAGTAAAAGCTTGTATAGTTTCGTTTGTTATATCCAAAGGTGAAAATATATCCGATGTCAGAAGTGATCTGGTATTATACTACATTAAGTTTTGCACACCACACAGCATTAGATAAGATACTAAATAATGTTTGAAATTCAAGGCAGATGGCCAATTAGCTGACTTTCTTGGCAAAACAACAAGACTTGCTATTATCCAGGTCCAAATTGCAAAGGAAATACAAAATGGAAAAGAAAAAAGCAAGCGGGAAAAGCACAATTTTAATATGAAAGGAAGAACCAATTAAAAAAAATTTTTTTTTAGTTTTATAGTGTTTGACTCGATCCTGTTAACATTGTTTTCATAATATTGGCTTGTAGATTTATATTTTGAATGTCTTTCTTGTTCAAGCTTTGCAGTTTTTTATTTTCATTTGATAAAGCTTTATTTAAAATTTTATTTTTATTCAAGTCTTATAAAGACCTGAAAGAACACGCTAGCTCTGTGCAGTGAGCAATGGCACGACTAACTGAGACATCGATTTCCTGAAACGGCCTCTAGGTTAATCTTAGAATTAGACGGTACGATTTTCGCCTACAACCATCGCATGCAACCTGTTCACGTCATACTTACGACATGAGTTCTGTCGTGTAATTCTGTCCTACAACTCACTCAAGTCTGATGTGTGCGACTACAAAAAAGTTGTAGAGTTTTAAAACGTGTTTTACAATCCTGCGATAGTCGTAGCGAAATTTGCACAAATTACCCTACCGTGAGGGAGTCTGTGGGGAAATTTGTGGGGGAGTCCGTGGGGCGATAAAAATGTCGGACAAAACAACAACAACAACACCGATTTTGCCAATAAAAACAAACCCACCAAGTGAGACGAAGACAAAATGAGATAAAGTTAATTTTACTGATGAAGAAGTTGATCTTTTAATCGGTCTCTGGAGTAAAGAKAGTGTTTTATTTAACTGTAAACACGCCGATTACTTCAAAAAAGATACAAGACACGTAGCGAGTTGTAGGTAAAATGTGGTAGGCGTGTGGATCTAATCTAAGTCATGTCGTAAGTATGACGTGAGCAGGTTGTATGCAATGGTTGTAGGCGAAAATCGTACTTTCTAATTTGGCCTTAAGACAGGGCACAGCTAACCCACAGATCGACTTGGAATTTATCTTGTCAGGTTTTGCGGATGGAGGAAAACCGGAAAACTCAGATAAAAACCCTCTAATCAAGAAGTACGAGTTGATTCTTTCATATTGTCTTAATAACTAATACATCAATTAATGCATCTTGGTCTCACAAAAGTATAATTGCTGATTTTTTTGCATACTCGGAAAAAAAACGAACATTTATTTTCTCACTTAAATTCTTCTAGAAAACGGACTGAAAGACGTGTATACGTAAAGGTTTTTTACTTGTGTCACGTAACACATCGAATATGCTCGTGACAAGTCTAGTCCTGTAAGACTAACACCAGGTCGAGGATGGCTACGCACATTACAGTGAATACAGGCACATAAGATATAAGCATATTTGTAAATATGTCTAGATAAAGCTTGTTGTGGGAGCCGTTCCCGTTCGTAAACACCATTACCAGGAATGGCTCCACTGACTACAGTGAGAAGCACATAAGATATTTAGCAATTATTCGCCGAAGGTGAAGTGAATAGCCTATACCAACTTGTGTATAACTTCTGTAACAAACAAGCAGAAACTTGCAGTTTGCATGACAAATTCACTCAAACCTTTTAGCAAACCTTTTAGGCCATACTTCGTTGCCTTTTTAGTATTGATAGGAATGGCAGTTACTTTCATTTTTTCAATTTCCTCATCGGAAATTGTAGCAAACCGATTGCCGGCAGATGCCATTTTGTTGCTGATTCAATATTCCGAGATTCAGAGGTGAATATCGTACAATATTCACCTCCAATTAACCAATGAGCGCACGCGTTCTTAGGAAGTACACAAGTTGGTATATGCTATAAGTCTATATACATGTAAACACATATATATACACCGAATCAACACATATATATATACACCGAATCCCTATAACTTTGACAATTTAGGGATATATAGTGTATCACCCTTTTTCCTATTGTCTTACCTGAATTTTCAAGGAAAGACAATATGAGGGGGATACATATACATGTATTTAGTATTTTTACACAAGTGAATATAGTAAATCCGGCTCGCTCATTGGTTACAATTTACGTCTTATGCTGTTATATTCACCTACAGGTGATATATACACCTACAGGTGAATATAACGCGCACGCGCAAGCGCACACTCGTTTGTCGATTTGTGCCGTGCTCAGAGATGAATAACATTTGAAATCAAAGGTAAAACCATGGTAAGCTCGTGAAGCTTTTTGAGTACCAATGAACTAAGATGATAACAGAGAGAATAAGAGAAAAATATCAAATGCCCTTGGCGGGAAACGATGATAACAAATGACACTTGATAACAAATGACTCTTGGTGACTCATTTGATTGAGGGTATTGGTATTGTGACCCGAGTAAGATGATAGTCGGATGTTTTGTGCAACCAAACTGTTGTCTTTATCAGTTAAATTATTGGCGACTGATTGGCTAGAATCCTTTCTTTTCCGATTTCTGGTTACGACATTTTTCTACGATTGAGCCGATTATCTGGACCGAGTCTAATCGATCCAATATAAGACAAACCAGGCTGTTTTCGAATTCTTCTTCCAACGTAATGATAAATAGAAATCTCATATCTCAAGGTCCAATAAAAAGAGCATAAAGTAAACTAAGAATACTCAAAATATGCTGCTGATTATGAAGTGATCAAAAATCCAAAATGGCTTCCTCTTCAAACAACGTGCGTGGATTCTTCCAGTGACGTCACTAGGCGAATACAATGGATTCCATGGTTACGGGAATTACCCAAAACGATTGGCTGAGAAGTGTTATCCGAAAAATGCGAAATCTAGCCACCACGATAGCTCTTTACAAACTAAAAACGTTACAAAACTCTCTCTCCGTTATTAATTAAATTCACTTGTGTTAAAGAAACTAAAACGACTCGCGTCTCGGTAAATATTCTCCGATATTCACTTCGCCTTCGGCGAATAATTGCTAAATATATCGCTAAATTGTCATCCTTATATACACATATGTGAAATACAAAATACTATATTTGTATTGTAAAATTAATGAATAATTACTTTAGAAGTCAGCTCACATGAATATCATGTAAACCCGATACAAACCTTACAATGAAAACGGTAATTAGATACAACGAATAGTGGATGTATACTGTAAATTGTTCACATCCATTTGTGTTCCCTCGAGGACATACACACATGAATCTTTTGAATTTTGGAAGGCACATGTCTCTGCATGTTTTGTGTGGGGTGGGAAGGTTGATGGAAGGCAACACGATTTGGGGCAAGTATGACAAGTATCGTCCTTCAAGAAAAAGAATAGGAAAAACGTTACTGGAATAAATACAAGCAGAAACGCAATGATGATAATTGTTTATAATTTAGATAGCTAAATCTAATAAACATCTTATCAACATACAGTCTTTAAGCAATAGAAAACTTTTTCCGTGTTTACATAGCCTGATAGCAACACGAGGGGAGGTTGGGAGAATTCGAGACAGTTATACAAACCCGAGACGTAGTCGAGGGTTTGCATAACTGTCGAGAATTCTCCCAACCCCCCGAGTGTTGCTATTAGGCTATGTAAACACAGAGAAAAAAGTTTTCTATTGCTTTTATAAAATAAATACTAAGGGAAAACATTACCACTTGCAAGAAAATAAATCTTTATTTGAATTTGATTCTCATATCAAAATACAAATTCTCCATACATCATGAACTTCGATCGTTAGCCAATCAAATTTTGTGTAATAAACGCCAAGGAGGCAAATGTGAAGCGAGAAAGAATCGCTAG